TGAAACCCTAGAAAAACAATAGTTTTGGACAAGGTTTTATGGTTTTCGACCAATTTTTTTACCATTATTTGTACAATGAGACATAGAACCCTCCTGTTGCTCCTGTTGCTGCTGCTGCTGCTCTTCCTCCCGAGGCTGAAAACGCACCCTCCCGGACAGGGAACAGCGCCAAAATCGAGCCCAAAAACTGCCTAACGTCCCTTCTGAAACCCTAGAAAAACAATAGTTTTGGACAAGGTTTTATGGTTTTCGACCAATTTTTATACCAGTGTTTCTACAATGAGACATAGAACCCTCCTGTTGCTCCTGTTGCTGCTGCTGCTCTTCCTCCCGAGGCTGAAAACGCACCCTGCCGGACGGGGAACACAGCTGCTACTGCTGCTACTGCTGCTCCTGCTGCTGGTGCTGCTGGAGCAGGTGCTGCAAGCCTCCAAAACACACCCTTCGCCACACCGAAACACCATGCTACTGAAGGATGGAACGACCTCCAAAAACATGCTGCCCCGGGGCTTGACCTGCTGCTGCTGCTGCTGCTGCTGCTGGCTGCTGCTGCTGCTCCCGCTGCTGCTGCTGGTGGTGTGCTGCCCCGAAGAACAACATTTTTGCAGCTACTGCTGTTGGTGGTGGTGCAGGCGTCCGCTGCGCTGCTGTTGCAGCTATTCTTGCTGTTCCTGCTACTGTACTGCAGCTGCTGCTGCTGCTGGTGATGCTGGTGCTGGCGTCTGCTGATGCTACTGCTGCTGCTGCTGCTCCTGCTGCTGGTGCGGCTAAACTTGCTTGTCTTTGCTTTACTTCTTCTCCTGCTGCTGCTGCTGCTGCGCCTGCTGCGGTAGTAGTCCGAAACAAGGCTGAAAACGCACCCTCCCGGACGGGGAAACACAGTGGCCCTGAAGGACGAACCAGCGCCAAAATCGAGCCCAAAAAGTGCCTAACGTCCCTTCTGAAACCCCTGCAGCGGTAGTAGTCCGAAACAAGAATCCAAAGTATTATTCCCTGGCGCGCCCCCCCTTGCGTCTGCCGGGGTCGGCGGATATATATATATATATAATTATATATATATATATCGCTTACATATTATCGATATACCCAATATATACCCAATATATATATAAATAAATATATGTATAAATAAAAATATATATATAAATATATATAAATATATAAATTATATATATATATATAAATAATATATATATATATAAGCTGCTGGCTACTGGCCATTGCTCGTCTTTGCTTGTCTTATTCCCTGGCGCGCTCCCCCTTGCGTCTGCCGGGGTCGGCGGATATAACACTCATCATGTACAACCTGCTGCTGCAGCTCTTTGGGGTCAAGTTGATGAGCACCGCTCTTGCCAATGGGGTTTCCAGTCGAATTTCACTGGCTTTGTTGTGGAAAGCCTTCGAGAACTTTCCATATCACTCCCCTCGGTGTTTTGACCTGCTCGTTCTCGACTGGATTGGCACATCCCTTCTATTCTGCTTGGCATTTGGTTGGGCTTCTGCTGGGACCTTCGCATCTACTTGCACCGAAGGGCCATCAAACTTTGTGTCCAGCCTCCTCTTGGCATGGACGTCCTCTGTTCCAGCTCGTTTAGCCTGGGCATGGAACAACGCGTTGTCTCCTCAGAAGAGGCCTTTGACGAGCTTTCTGGGGAGGCGCGATACTTGTGCGCTGAACACAAGCTGGACAGGCACAAGCAGGAAGGAATCCTTGCAAGCTCCTTCGAAAGGTGAGCCGGCGTGGAAATCTAGGACCTCCAGCAATGAGGAAGGCCCGGCCTACCACCTCGCTGCGAGCTTTTCCGGCTTTTTGGGTGGGGCGGCACTGAGACCGCGCCCCACAGTTGGGAGCCCTTCAGTCACATCCTCGGGCTCATCTTCAAGCAAGCGCGCTCTGACTTGGACGCAGCAAGAGGCTGTGTGTGATCAGATTGCCGAGCACAATCAAGCTGGGAAGCCGCGTGTGGCTTGTCTTCGAGGATTTTGACGGCTACGAGCACGACCCGGTGATCGTCGAACCTTTGCTGCTTGCCTGGCTCTGGTCAAGAGAGGAGAAAAATGTTTTCATTGTTGTGCTTGGGGTATGCTGACGCTTGAGCATTGCGGATGAAATGGATGGAATTGGGTGACGTGACTGGGGGCAGATGGCTCGTTGGAGCAAGAGTTCACAGCTTGTTGCTGTGTCACCCCTCTCAAGGAAAAATTCAATGCATTGAGAGCTCCAAGGTTCGATGAGAAGTACCCCTTGGTTGTGCCTCACCAGGTCTGGCATCTGCAAAGCGGGTGGCCCCGCTTCAAGTTTTTGCCAAGCCCACTTTGGTCGACTTGGCTTGCGCCAACAAGGAGGACCGATCTGTCTTTGGTTGAGAATCGTGCGAACTTGTGTTGGCTACGTTACCGAGCAAATTCGCTGGTGCCCGTGACTCCGTTGGCTGTGGCTTCGGGGTTGCGATAAGGCCGCAGCGGACAGCATATAGCTGAAACTCTTCGAGACCACTTCGCCTTTTTGAGTGCAGATTCTGCGACGGTCCTCCTGATGTTCCTGCTCCAGAGCCTGGGTGTCTGATCGGGTTGCAAAGCTTGAGGAGCTTTTGCATGGCATGTCTGAGAACGCGAATATCCTGCTAAATCTCTAAGCGAAGAAAGCAGCTGCGCCGGGAAAAGCGGCTTCTTGCCGATTTCAAATGTTCCTCTTTGACCTGGATCTGAACCAGCCGCTTCCAAGGCTCCGACGCTGGAGTAGCTGCTGCTGCCCTTAGCGCTGGGGTTCGTGAGGAGAACCTCTACGAGATGCAAAGGCTGCTGGCGCTTGATCCATCAGGTTGGAAGAGGCTACGGGGACCAGCCAGTGCATTGCGCAAGCTGACGGAGCTTATGACGGTCCTCTCTGCAGACAAAGTCAAAAGATCTACCAGTCAAAGATTCACTTGGCCCTTGTGATACTGCAGAAGCTGTTTGCCACTCTGAAGTTGGAGGGGTTAATGGACTGAAGGGTGCCTGCTGCACGTAGGGCCCTTCGCACCGCCTGAGAGTCAGTCGCAAGTTCCCAACATGCCCTCGAGTGCTGAATCCTCGAGCCTAGCTTGAGCATCGCTCGAGGATGACGTCGTACCGAGCTGCATGGTGCGCACTGTGCATGGGGAGTTTGTTCCCTGGAGATCTTATCAATGGGCGTGTCGGAGCGTCGTGCGGGCCACAGCGCGCGCTGGCTTTTTGATCTTGCAACCGGATCACTGCGCCATTGATAAGGGCAGTTGGACCCTCTCCAGTGAATTATCTCTTGAGTGTTGCAGTGTTGCCGATGGAGAGGCCCCTTTCAGCCATCTCCTTGACCGACGATGGCGCGGGATCATGTTAGCCCATCTGAGAGATGCTGATGACTATGCCACCCGGCGACGAAATCTTTCCTTGGTGACAATTCCAGGACCGATGCTGCAAAGCCCACACCGAAGGCAAAGTGCCAAAAGCCAAGAAGACGGCTGATGAGCCGTCTCATGGCTATAGTTCATATGTGTCTGGAGTGGTGCTCAGGTACGAAGTTGCGCTCAGCGGGTTGCTCTTGACATTTTGGTTTTGATGGTGGAGCTTAACGTTTTTTGGATGGCCTCTGGGCTGTTCTTTATGTATACGTGTGGTGATGAATGCATGAAGAAGGTTTTCTCCCAGACAATTGCCTGAGATGGAGTTCCGGCCCAAGTTAATTGTACTAGCATTCGCTCAAGCGTTGCTTTGCTGGCTTGCATTCCTCCCACAGCAGCAGCCCTGCCCTGCCGTTTGGGGAACTCTCTGGATGGCCCGCCCCCCTGGTGACTTGCTTGGCTTGGAGTTTGGCTGCCTTCACTTTCCTTTGGGCTCCTCGCAAGCTTTCGAGGCGACAACGGCAATAGATAGTTAGTTTGAGTCCCCTAGAGACTGTTGAATTTTTTCAGAGCTTTTTTAGAGGGCTTCGGCTTTCTGCATCTCCCTGTCGCTGCAGTCTTCCGACTATGATCTTGGCTTCTGCTCTTAGCCCCTCTTGGGTTTGGAGTTGCCCTGTGGCTCATTCCCTTTTCGGGCCGCTGCTTGAGTGACCTGGCCCACTGAAGGATACAGCGCATGGCCTTGCACCTGCGCGCCTCTCCAGCTTGCTGCCTATGCCTTGTGTAACTTCGTTTTTTTTGCTTGCCGCGCTCTTTGTTTTCTAGCTTGGCAACGCTGCAAACCGAAGTTGGCCAAAGTGGCCGCTGTGGACGTCAGACTGCGCCTTTTTTGGCGCTGTGGAAGCAAAAAGGATTGCCAATGCCTGCGCCTGCTTACCAGTGTGATCTCATGTGCAGTTGGAGGGTGGGTTCATATATACACATATATATATATATGCATACATAGGCACACACGCACACATACGTGCGTGCGCACGTGCATGCACACATACATACATACATACATACATACATACATACATACATACATACATACATACATACATACATACATACATACATACATACATACATACATACATACATACATACATACATACATACATACATACATACACACACATATGCATGCATGCATGCATGCTGCATGCATGCATACATACATACATGTACATCCACTCATTTCCCTGCACACTCAAAAGCGAAGCGCCCTTTTCTCTCGGTTGGCCGCCTGTGCAAAGCACTAGAAGGTTCCGGGGCGAACGTCGTGCTTTGGCAGCGGCTTTCCAGCTGTTGTGTGCACACGTTCAGGACGTTCCATGGCCGTATATGCATAAATCAATAGATAAATAAAGAAATATATATATATATATCTATATTATATATTCCTAAAATATGGGTACCCCAAACCATTGGTTTTCCCATTGACAACAACCAAATTTGGATGATTTTGGAATCCCTCATTTGAGGAACCCCCTACATACATGTCCGCATTCATACAAATATATATGTACATGTATGTATGTATATGTCAAACATCTTGCACAGGGATGGGTGTGCAGGGCGGACTTGTTCGCTTAGGTCCAAACATCTGTCCTCGTTGCTGACCGCTCGACACTTGCATCACTCACCTGAACGTCGCCACGAAAATGGTGAGGTCGCAGAGGACTGTAATATCCTCAGCGGTGGATGGCCTTGTAGACGGTCCATTGAGCAACGGAGGGCGCACCCACCTGCACGACTTGAATGTGCATAATGCGCTGTCATTCGTTTGGGCTTTGCGGTGTTGACATACCTTTCCCAGAACTGCAGATTCAAAACGTACGGATCCAGAATATTGGAGAATCCCAACAGATGGTCACCGATCATTTGCCCATTCCAAATGATCCAGGTTTTGATCCCCTATACTTCACTCATAGTTTTTGAATCTTCTTGCAGCATCCAGTCCAGGAGGTTTTTGGCAGCATCCAGGAAACTATCCCTCGCATCGGAAACACCTTGGTGCCCTACCGAGCCTCGGCAGGGAGTTGGATGTGCTCACAGGTGGATTTTGTTTGCGGGAAAAATGTGACCCTGCTGGCCATGTATGATATAAGTGGTACAAGATACATTGATCGAATCTTCGTGCCCCGTCCTAGCTGGAATGGATGGTCCCAGGAATCCATGAACCTGCTGCACATGCTCAGCGCATCTCTCAACTGTGCTATGATGCTTGGAGGAAGTGAAAACCATTTGCCCGACAGTCTTGGCGATGGCAGATCCTTTGTTGTTTCCAGGATGTGCTGGTGATGACAAAAACAACCAACTGTGGCAGCGTTAAGGAGAGATACAAAAAGAACGAAGATGCCATGGAGGCTGGTTTGGCAGCCAGGCCGGACGGGGGGATGGGACGGGAACTGCTTAAGCCATCGGCCAGTTGCCAGTTCACCCACTTCGGCCAATTCCAGGCTGGGAGACTTGACGGTCGCAAAGACACGAAGCACGTGGACACTGGACGCCTTTCATTTGCTGCCAAATGCATGGCGACCAACGTGGAAGGCCATGCCATGCCATGGCATGGTGATTGTGGCGCCCAAGCCCTCGCAAAGTGTTTAAAGTTGTAATTTGGAATCTGTTGTGAGCTGCCAAAGGTGGTTGTCTCCCCTTTTTGCTTGTCCATCCATGTCCCTATTTTTGTTAGTGGAGATTCAGGTGTATAGGGCGAATCATAGATGGTGGATGATGGGCCCACAGCTTGGGAAGTGCCAGGATGTAGCGACTGAAGCTGCAGTCAGCAAGTCGAATCTTGGCTCCAAGTTTAGTAGATGTAGATCAAACCTTTGGTCCCTGGTATCATTATTCTTTCTGGTTGACTTGTGATTGTGATACCCTTTTTGCTTGTATATCGCTATATACATACATACGTACATTACATTACTTTACAATACAGTACATTACATTTACATTTACATTTACATTTACATTTACAATCATTTACATTTACATTTACATGTTACATTTGCAATTGCAATTACGTTTACATTTTACATTTAGATTTACATTTACACGTGCATATTTGCATTTGGATTTGAATTTACAATGCATTACATCACAGTACAGTACAGTACGGAACAGTCAATTACATTATATGCACAATATGTATACAGTATACATTGCAATTTCCAGCTATGATTTGAATGTGATATCACTCCATCCTATCCGCGCCATCACACCTTGGAATCTCCAAGGAGCTTCCCCCTAGCGGCTGCCTCGGTGATTGCGGGGC